GGTGATGAAGAGTCTTTTGACTCCACCGAATCTACACATCCTAACAAAATAATATGGAGATTCCTGCCCGCAGCGCCTGCAATTCCTGTTTTCCTGCGCTCTGCGCAGTTCACGGGAGGCCACTTTGGTAAATGGCTCCGTTCCATTGAGATGGGCCGCATAGAATGGCTTCGTTCCATTGCAAACTTAAAATGGCTTCGTTCCATTGAAATGGGCCGCGTAGAAATCAAAGCCCAATTCAAAACTTAAACGTCGCTGCTCCCGAAATTCCCTAACGAACTCGATCTGCTCCCGAAATTCCCTAACCTCGCCGCGAAATCCCCTATCGTCGCCTGCCCAAACAGCCTCGCCGCGACGCCACAGCCTCGCCGGTGAATTACAGCTCCTAACGTCGACCTCTCCCCCAAACAAACCACAACTTCCAGCTTCCAGCCGCCGAACTCGATCTGCAAACAACCGATTCGTCTCAAATTCAGCTGCTCAAACATTGCACGACCATAACACTTCAATTACAGCTCCTAACGTCGATCTGCAAACAATCGATTCGTCTCAAATTCAGCTGCTCAAACATGCCGGAAGGATAAATCTGATCTCCTCCCACGTTTCAGCTCCGCTGCTCTTCTTCCAATTACTGCCTCCTGAAACCCTAATTCCTCCATCGTCATGAGTGCTCCCGCCATTTCAGGGGTAAGTACTTCCTTCCGGAGAAAGCACTGTTAGATCTTGATGTTTTCCAGGGGGGAGAATTCCTCCGCATCCAGCTTCTGGCTGTTCTCTTAGCTTCAGATCTTGATTATCTCTACTCTATTTGAGCCAGATCCTGACCGACGAAGAATTTGCTTAGCAAGGTTGCTAGGTAAGCCGATAGCCATAGCTTTTTACTCAAACAAATTGATATTGGAGAAATGAAGAGAGTGATTAGGATGAGAAATTGGGAACTCGATTTGTGTTGGTTCTGAAGCTAGCTCACGAGGACTCATATATAGATAGAGGGTTCTTGCTTCTCCTCCACAAATTGAAGCCAAGGCCTAAAAGCCAGTTGAGACATAATTCACGAGGCTTCACATGGACCTGTCTTCCAATGGGAACAAATTGTAGGGCCTGCACATGCCCTACAATGTAAGGGCTAGGCCTATGGATGATCACACATTCATTGAAAATTGCGCATCCATATAAGCAAATGAAGTTTGAACCGTAACATGCCCCTGTCTTTAGATGATCATATAGGCAAATTGTTGGAATGCAAGCAGGGTACGTGGCCTACAGGTTGAGGGTAGGCCAGTGGTAGATAACATTGGAAATATGAGTCCCCTATTGTCAATGTTTAAGTTGTTATGGGAAAGCTAGATAGTCCATACAGATACGGGACATGCCTGAGACAAAGTTAGTAGCCAGTTCACTTTTCCTGCACTGTGCGCAGTTCACGGAGGGATAGCTTGGGAAAATTATCTGTAACATTCAACTGGGCCGTGAATCAATTTTTTATTACTTAGCCGGTAGAGAACGGATGGGCCCTCCCCCAAAGCCCATTGCAGCTCCTAAATTAGGAGTATTGTTAGGGTTCAGAATAGTTTGGATGTATCGAATTAGTGATCATGGGGACATAATTATCAAACATTGATGACTTTTTTCTTATTTACCCAACGATAGGAATTCTTTTACTGAGTTGCTGTATACAGGTGTTGCAGTGAATGTACGATGAAGCAAACACATATAATATCTATACACAATATGGTTGTGTTTCCACTTCAGGGTCATATGTAATTAGTGATATCTTGCTGGGCAATGCAATCAACCTAACTTCGAATGGTAATAAAATTTTCATTATTTGTTTTTTCGTGTCTATTTTTTATCCAAATAATTTTCAGATTATTTTATATTATCTAAACCTATTAAAATTTTATTAATTAGACAAATCTTTTATAATGCATCAAAATATTAGCCATTTTACGTTATGGTTAATAATTTTTTTAACTCTTTTCTTAGTTAAAATACTAAAATTTTTGAATGTTAACCTTCACGTGTCTCTTTCAAGTCAGTATCATGTTGTCAAGTCAATATTACTAACAAAATTGCTAAATGAAAGTTAACATTTGGCTAATTCTTAGTATTTCGATGAGTTTGGATAATATAAAAGTATCTGAAAATGATTTGGATTAAAAAAATAGACATAACCCTTTGTTTTTCTTTTTAAGGTTTGCTTTGCTCAGGACTTGCTTGCATTGGCTGCTGAAGGCTAATCTGAGATTCTTTTTTGAAGTTTTATGTCTTGAAGAAGAAGCATTCCCCGTGAGAAGTCATCAACGGTATCAAATAATGAGTCAATTCGATCATTAAAAATTGAATGCAAAATGAAATATTTTTTATTTTTCAATTAAGATTATTATTGATAATTTCTTTCATTGCAGATCCAATGTCAATTGAATTTCAAAAAGCATGGACTACCTCATGCTCATTTATTAGTTTTCCAATTTTCATACCCGAAGAAAATAAATTCTATGATCTTTTGGAAACTGATTCAATTATATATGTTAAAATCCCAAATCCTAAAGCAAACCATGAATCGTAGGCAACATTTACCAATTATGGGTTTCATGGTCCATGTGGCATTTAAGGACCTAAAGCTTCATGTATAACTAAAGGTGTACATGTTCTACATATATTCTGAAGAAATTCTGCAGTCAAATAACTATTGTTGACTATGGTTTCGGATTTACATGTATCGGCATCAAGAAAACAAAATATCATTAACAAAAGAAATTATTGTTGCAATTTCATATACATATCACTGTCGGATTTTTCAACAAATCAATGTTAGTTATTCTTCTCTCGACCTTTTCTTATATCATCATTAAATTACTCATATATTTGTTTCAATTTTTGTGGTCTCCTGTTAGTGTCTCTTTTCTCCTTAACTATTTTCCAGCTTTCTGTTCGTTGTTCATATTATCATTGTTACAGAGTATTTACTATATATATTCTCATGGCCTATCAAGGTGTTATACGTTAGCAACATTGAGGATTTGGACCGTTTTATTATTAATACTGTTATTACTATGTCATTGTTGTTTAGTTAGGGAAAGTAGTTTTGTGAAATTGTAGTAGCAGTGTGAGACATGTGTGTTTATTGTTTTGGATTTTCCACTTATTTTTATTTTAGACATGTAACTTGCAAGGCCAAGTGAATAAAATTATCACCAAAATACCAAATTTTTGTAACCTTTTAGGAAATATATAATTTGAAATATGGTGAAACAAAATTTGAAGAGTCATATAAAGTTGTAAGATGTAAATAGATTTTTGTTACTTTATTATTACTATTATTATGTTATTTGTATGTTTCGAGTCATAATTAATTTACTATTTCATTCAGGACTAGCAAGTATTTGTTTAAATATATTAACAAACCTGAAGATATAGCATCTCAACTTTGACATCTAAACCAGGTGGTAACGAAAAACAACACCAAAAACTAGAAAAATCTTCAGCAACTAGGTGGTAAAGCGCTTCTAGACTGCCATTACATTACCGTGATGCAGAGAAGGAACAAATCGAAGATATTGTACATAACTTGGGCAATGTATATTCCACTCCAATGAAAATATCATTTCCATTTCTAAATATTTTATCATTAAAAAGTTTATGCTCGATGAAATGCAGGAAAACAAGGAAGATATTATTGAAATGCAAGAGAAGAAGGAAGTGAGAATTGACAATGAAGATAAATGTGTCGTTAATGGAGATGAAGAAATTATTACTGAAGAAGATAACGATGTTGCTCATGGTGGAGGAAATGCAAACAAGTCGAAAAGAAAATGTGCCGTAATCTTTGGCGATAGGTAGTAAATAGAAGGGTTATTTCCAAATGATTTTAGTTATTGGTTCCCTTACATGTGGTTACCCTTTAGTTTTTTTTCGTAAAAGGATTTTAATTGGTTAGTAAGTTAGAATGCCATAACATACTATGATGTCGATCCTTTTGAATGATTAAAGTATTTTAATAATTTGAATTCTCTTATACTGCCAATCAATTTTGATGTTTCGAGTGTTTGAATAACTTAAAATTTCTTATACTACCAAAGAAACGTGTATGCCACATACAAATGATTATTGATGTTTACGTGATTGATGAATGAATCCGGCCAACTGGCCGGGTCCATGACTAGATGAACTGAATGTAGGTGCTCCGCCAGTGAAGGAAATAGAAAAACAGCAAAAGATAGTTCCGCTGAAAACAATAGATGAACTGAATGTATTGAAGATGAACGAGGGAGAGGAGGTCAGTACCAGTTTCAATTCAACAACCTAATCATTATCAATTGCTAACACTACATATAAAATGCAGGGAAATATGTATTCTGTCATATGCAAAGTTCTCAAGGTTAAGAATGGGTGGTGCTATGCTGGATGTCAAAAGTGTCCACAAAAACTCGAAGAAGATTCTGATGAGTACTTCTATGGGAATTGTATGACAACATTAAAGACCACTACAGCCCGGTAATTCGATGATTGTTTAATGTCAATTTTACTTTCATGTATTTCATTCCTTGATATACTGCTAACGTGGTTGGATACATGATTAACTAGGACATAGTTTATGTTCCTTTTTTAATTTCATACATATTGCAACGTGGTTGATGATTTAATTTGATGCAACATGCTTTTTAATCATTTACTTTTGGCTTACATATATTAATTCAACGACCTAACCACTCCTACGATTTTTATTCTTCTTTAATCGCATCATTATAATCGTAGATTCAGGATCCACCTCCGAGCTGCGGACACAACAAATGCAGCTGACTTTGTTATTATGGATCGAGTTGCCGATCGATTTTTTCACATATCTGCTGAAAAACTTTTCCAAGACAACGATCAAATGAGAGGACCACCACCGGCTCATCTCTTACAAATTGAAGGGATGAAGTTGAAATTCTTCATCAAGCTCACTGGTTACAACATCGCTAACCCTACAAGCGAATACACAATTATCAAGATAGAGAAGAATGAGGAAAACTCCAACTCAAATGATCTCCCAATATTTATCGAGGTATGTACAAGTAATGTATGTGATTCTATGAAAATTATATCTATCATTGAAACTTCTATCTATTGATTCATAATTACCATGCACTCTGCATTACTTGAGCTTCATTTTGTCACGTTAATTTTGCTTTGTATATGATTCCATGCATGTTATTTCTATTACTGGAACTTCTATTTAGTTAATATTATTACCATGCACTTTCCATTACGTCAGTTTCATTTTGATATGTATATAATTGTATTACTGCTATATAGATATATATTATGAGAACTTTCATTCATTATTATAATCACAAGCAATTGCAGGAGGAAAAAGTAGAACCTGCTAATGCTGTACTCGCTGCCGTTGATGGTGCTGAGAAAAAGCAAGATATTGCTAATGAGGCGGAGGTAAATATTATACGATATGATAATTTACTTTTACTTGCACAATAATTATAATACCTAAAATAAGCGCTAAATATAATGCAGAAAAATGAGGAAGAAATTCCCCAAATGCAAGAGAATGAGGCCTCTACATTTAATGGAGCACAATGCGACACCAATGGCGACAAAGCAACTACTATGGATGGACGTACTGATGTTGTCGATGGAGCAGGAAGTGAAAAGAACCAGAAAAAACGGAAACATGGAGTTGTCTACGACGATGAGGAGTAAATAGAAGGATTCTTTTAAAACAATTTTAGGAGTCGGTTCCCTTTCATGTGGTTTTTCTTTCATTTTTCGTATGAGGATTTAGTCGGTCAGGATGTCGGTTAAACTATTTTATTCTCTTCTTATATTTATAATTAAAGAGGATGTCGGTTGGACTATTTTATTCTCTTTTTATATTTATGGTTAAAAAAGATGTCGGTCAAACTATTTTCTTCTCTCTTCATTTCGTATTGATTTTGGTACTATGCTGTTGTTTTTCTTGAATGAAAGGCTATGTTTGTTCTTCCTCTAAGGATTCACAAGAGGCAATAGCGGAAACAGATTATAAGCCACTGTTGGCTGATGATGGTATCCGATGATGTGCCATCCAAAATATTATGTAAATTGACTGCGGTAAAAGTCTTTTTCAATGAAATGATTGGTTCAAGTAGGGACTTCAAACATTGCCTTTTTTTGGACTGCATAGTCGTGCACTTCCTCTGCAGTCTGCACAGCACAATGGACTTTCAGCTCAAAGTTCTTGAACTGGGTAAACTGTGTGGTGGAGAAGCCTAGGGGTGGGCATACGGTTCGGTAAAACCGAACCTAACCGAACCGAATCGAATATAAACCAAACCGAAACCGAATTAATGGTATTCGGTTCGGAATTCGGAAGAGAAAAGGGCATACTTCGGAAATCAGGGTCCTTTCGACCGAACCGAATTTCCGAATTCCGAACCGAAAAACCGAATTATTATAATTGCAAGCTTTAAATGGTGAATTTTTATGTTTCTACTTATTATGATACTTAAATATTTGAATCATGTTAGTGTTTTATGACTTATGTGTTGAAATGTTTGATTTTATCATTGATGATGCATATTTATTGTTTACATTATGGGTGAAAAATAATTTAAAAAAGAGAAGATACAAGCTAACCTCACTATTTCGGTTTTGTATGAAAAACCGAACCGAACCGAATTATAATTTGGTTTGAACCGACCGAACCAAATTATAATTCGGTTCGAATTCGGTTTGATGTTTGCTAGAATTCGGGGACCAGGTATGCATAATTTCGGTTCGGTTTGAACCGAACCGACCGAATGCCCACCCCTAGAGAAGCCTCTTGAAGTTGTGTTCTCTTTTACATTTTCGAATTTATTTCTTCATTTTTTTTTTATAATTTTGAGATAGGAGACAAGAATGTTTTGTTACTTCCCCACTTGGTTGCGGAAGAAGTAAAATCCATATGAAATATGAAAGTGTGATTCCTTACAATAAGGATAAATTCGTCTCTCATTGTCCTAAATCCTCAAATTTTACGATCGGGACAAATCTACGGGAGAGTTCAGAATTTAAAAAATTCATTCAACCACAGCCTGGTATGATTTATAAACGAATCCGGCCAACCGGCCGGGCACGTGACTAGTACTATAATACACCGAAGGGAAAAACGGGAGCCCCATTTCAAATTTTCTGCAACGAGAATGAAAGTAGGAAGAACATTTTGGTCTTCACAATTACTTTTTTTTATTCATTAAAAAGTCACAATTACTTTTTTTTATTCATTAAAAAGACACGTACTGGGATTCGAACCATGACCATTTTAAAGAAAAACAACGATCATAACCAATCACACTAAGTACATTTGTTGTATCTTTTTAAATTAAAAATATATAATAGCAGGGAGGAAAAAACTCTCCCCCATTTCAAATTCTCTGCTCCAGAAGCGTTTGTAGGAAGGGTAGAATAGGAAATGTCAATTTTTATCTTTTTCCTCTGTGGAACGGGCCAACTTACCGTACACATGCGGATTTAAATGGGTCCAGGAGTGTCAATTTTTTTCTTTAAGCTCTTTTATTTCTCAAAGGTGATCAAATATATATGAAAAGGCAAAAACAATACTCCTTTTTATTGCTAAAAATATAAAATTTAACAATAAACTAATGCATGGTATCTAATGGGGTAACCGCTAACCATAAAATAAAATAGTTGAATGGGCCTGACCTACACGGGATTTGGCCATCAAGTAAAACAAATGAACATCATTGGCAAAAATATAATGTATTTTAAAGTTATTCAATGGTTCAACCTCTACCAACCCAATTAGTCCAATTTTTATCATTTCAAATATATATATTATATAATTATTTGATATTATAATGATCAAATTATAGTGTATTTTACAGGGAATCATTTGGTATTTGTTAGTAAAAAACTAAACAGAAAGATCTATTTGGTTATTTTAAACATTAAAACGATCCTAAACATTTTCAGTTCCTTTTGAATTTCTATGGTTTTATTCCCGAATAAGTGATGTGCAAATGGCGAATTGCAGTCATCTCTTTTCTTTCACTATTTTTTATTTTCAAATAGAAAGTTTAAAAGTTAAGAATAATTGAGATTTTTCCAGAAATAGAACTATTTAAAAAAAATTCCAAAAATAGCACCATTTTTTTAAAACCGCCACCCGGAGGTGCGTTTTTCGATGAAACGCCACCCGAGGGCGCGTTTTTCGATGAAAACGCCACCCAAGGGCGCGTTTTTCGATGAAAACCGCACTGGTAGGGAGCGGTTCTGCAGACCGCACCCCCAGGGTGCGTTCTGTCTTTTTTTTTTTTTTTTTGCAAACCGAACCCCCAGGGTGCGTTCTTTTTTTTTTTTTTTTAAGTCCTAACTTAGGTGGAAACTTCAAACGAACATATCTTTATGTTCGGGTATCCGATCGTCGCGAATTTTTTTTTGATTCCGCATAACTTTTTGAGATCTTGCAAGTCGAAGAATGCCAAAGGTGGTTTGGTCTCGCCTTCGTCCCAAAAAATGTCGTTTGCTACCCTGAACGAACTTTTTTCCAATTTCGTCAAACTTTGGACAAGCATAACTTTGTGCTCCAAAATCCAAACGTCATGAAAAAAAATTTTATTTCGCATAAATTTTTAAGGAATACAACTTTTATCATAGACATAATTTCAAAATGTACGTGGATTGCTGAGAAGGGAAGATAAGCTATTCCCAAAATCCTGTATATCCAAAAATAATTCTTGTTTTGAAAATACATTCCTAGTAAAAATTGTAGTCCTTAAAAATTTATGCGGAAAAAAAAATCATGCCGTTTGGATTTGGAGCACAAAGTTACGGTTGTCCAAAGTTTGACGAAATCGGAAAAAAGCTCGTTCGGGGTAGCAAACGACATTTTTTGGTATGAAGGCGAGACCAAACCACCTTTGGCAGTCTTCGACTTGCAAGATCTCAAAAAGTTATGCGGAATCAAAAAACAAATCGCGACGATCGGATACCCGAACATAAAGATACGTTCGTTTGAAGTTTCCACCTAAGGTAGGATTTTTTTTAAAAAAAAAAACCAGAACGCACCCTGGGGGTGCGGTTTGCAAAAAATAAAAAAATAAAAAAGCCAGAACGCACCCTGGGGATGCGGTTTGCAACCAAAACGCACCCTGGGAGTGCGGTCTGCAAAATCGCTCCCTACCAGTGCGGTTTTCATAGAAAAACGCGCCCTCGGTGGCGTTTTCATCGAAAAACGCACCTCCGGGTGGCGGTTTTACAAAAATGGTGCTATTTTTGGAATTTTTCGGAGTTGGGTGCTATTTTTGGAATTTTTTTTAAACAGTGCTATTTCTGGAAAAATCTCAGAATAATTAGAATTTTGCATGGGTCGGTCAAACAGGCTTAATTTCAAGTTTTGGCCCGTTTTGATCAAGTCTAATTTATAATCACATGGTTCCCTGATACTCGATAAAAATCTCAATCCAAACCAGTTTGGCAGGTGAGTCCGTGTTTACCACCATTTTCTAGGGATACGACAACGGTGGTTCCTATCCCAAATCGTGTTGTTCGTTCTTGATTTTCATAGATTTTATCATGGCCTGACAAAAACCAGAAAGCACAATGACGACAAGATGAAAGTTTTATAAAGCAAATTAATCGGCCAACGGGTCGAGTAAAAGCTAACAACGATTGTGAGATGCTAATTTTCCAAAAACCTACGAGATAGGCGATTTTTTATTCGATTTTCTGGAATCCGATTTCTATAAAACTTACTCCACCTCATCATATTACCAGAAACAATATTGTTTCACAAGGTAACAGATACTTGATTTTGGTTCATAAGGCCAATTTTTGATTCGTTGCATCATTCATGTCTCTTTCCTGCTAAAATTCATTATTTTTATCACGTGTTTCCGAAAAAAAACTATACAACAATAAACTATACACTCCATTACATTTTTAAATTTACCTCACCTTCCTCCGGCCAACTGGCCGGGGCCCACGTTAGTAAAGAATATGAGAAGTCAGATCTAGAAACTCTCCTCTTCCCTCTCCCCTATCACCACCACTTCCCATCCTCTTCGCTAAATCCTTGCCTCTTCCTTTTTCTGCATCATGTCGGCGCCACCTTCATCGCAGATCTAGTAACAAAGACGACAAGATTGAAGTTGCGGCTCGGATTGTAACGGTGGAGACGAGTTTCAATTTGGGAATTTTTCAATTTGGGTTTCAATTTATTCATCAGGTTTCTTGTGGCAGTGGCGACGGGTCGTATAGTGAGGAACTTGCGGTCGGTTTGTAACGATGATTATAGAAGCGGGAGCCTAAGGAGTGAAGAGAAGGCGACAAACAGGGGAGCTGGGATTTGTCCAACGAGGACTGAAACAGGAAAGAGCGTCACCCGGTACGAGAGAGACAGCAACGACGAAGGAAGAGGAAGGCGCCTGCGACGATTGAAAAGTATAATAAACGGCGGAGGCAACAACTTGCTATTGTTGGCTGAGTGAATGCATACTGTAATTGTGTTTTATAATAAACTGAAAAGTATTGTAAAGTATCTCATTCTGGGTATATATACTATACATATTTCATGGATTTTCATTTACAATTATTAATTTCAAGATTTTAGTATAAGTGTATTAAAATATAAAAAAGAAGCTAAAAAGAAAGCCATTTTTAATAGGAAGTTGCTAATTATCACCCTAAGTTTTCTATAATCGTCCTAACTTGCCGCTCAGAAATACCCTTTTGCCCTTTTCTTTTTATTTTTTATAAAACTTATTAT